AATTGTGTTCTTTTTCTTCCTTGGGGAAAGAAAATATTCAATTTCTTAGCTGCCTCTTTGTGCCTTCACACTTTCCTGGGGTGATCTATGCCCCTGATAACAGGCTTTCCCCTTCTTAAATTCTGATATTCACTGGATTGGCCTGTATACTCAATAACAGCTCTAACAAATTGTGCTAGCCCCCTGGCGTGGACACAGTGTCCAGAGCCCCCATTTGTGATAACGTCTGATCTGGCCAGCTGCTGCTTTACTATTATGAAGGAAGTAGGGAAGGCAGTGAGCATGTTGAAGTGGGGTGGGGTAGTCTCACACCAAGGGGAGCCCCCTTTGCAGCCAAAAAAAGAAGGTTAACCAACCAAGGAGTTCAGTGCATCAGGGTTAGGCTTGTCTGCCTGTGGACCTTTTACTGAGGCTCCTCCCATGGGTTTCCATCACACCGTTCAATACCACCTAGTTCCTTACCAAGGTCAGTTGAGTCCTGGTATGGCTGTCCCCTTCTTGGGAATGATCCTTTGCCTGTAGTTCCGCCTGTATTTTGGCATGAACTTGACATTGTTTAGAGGTGCTGGAAGCCGTGGATTTTTTTTGGTATAATTTACATACAGTGAGATCACAGATTTTAATTTGTACAGATCTTAGGTGTACAGTTTGAGTTTTGACAACTGTGTATACCCTCTGTAACCCATACCCCAATCAAGATATAGACCATTTCTGTTACCCCAGAAAAGTTCCCCTGTGCCTCTTCTTAGTAAGTGTACACCCCCTACTTCACCCGTAGGGAACCATTCTGTTTGTATCACTATAAGATTTGACGCCATGGATTTTAAAACATGCAGATTTTCTTACCATCTGGATGGTGAGAGATGTCAGGAAATATTTATTCAAGTAAATCGGTGGTTCTCAACCAGGGGGTGATTTTGTTGTCACATTTGGCAATGTCTGAAGATATTTTTTACTGTCATGACGGGAGGTGGGGTGGGGAAGGGCTACTGGCATCTTGTGGGTAGAGCTGCTAAATACCCCACAGCAAAGAATCATCTGGCCCAAAACGTCAATAGTGTTGAGATTGAGAAACCCTGAAGTAAATTGTGGCCCTGGGAAGTATTAATCTGTTGGTCTCCCAAGTCTCCGGGGGTGAGGTTTGTTTTTTATCTTTGTTTTAAGAGCCTGTAACCCTAAACCTAACCTGTTGCCCTTGAGTCGATTCCGACTCATAGTGACCCTATAGGACAAAGTAGAACTGCCCCATAGAATTTCCAAAGGAGCGCCTGGTGGATTCGAACTGCCAACCTTTTGGTTAGCAGCCGTAGCTCTTAACCTCTATGCCACCAGGGTTTCCTAAGGGCCTGTAGGAAGCTGCAAAGGCAGCTACGGGAACCGGCTTTCTTCTGGGCTACTTCCTTTGTAGCCAGTGTTCTTGCTGTGGGAGGGGGGGGGGGGCTTGGGGAAGAACATAGGAAAAGAGGTAGAAGAAAACAACTTAGGCAATAAAGGGAGCAAGCTTAGGATGGTATTAAAACAAGAAAAACAGGAGTAAGGGAAAATTAATAAGGTCGAAATTAATAATCAAGAATCCAGTAAATTTTTAAAAAGTAAACGAGATTTAAAATAAAAAAATGAAAGAGAGTGAGAATAATCATCAAGAACATAAAAGAAAAAAAATAAAATATGTGAATAAAAAAAATAAATAAATAAAAAACCATGAGCTTGGTTGGATCTAACTAAACCTTGGATGGAGGGAGTCCCTGATTGGGATTGATATCTAGGTTAATTCTGAAACTTTCTTAACTCAGGGTGTCTCCAGTTGAAATTTCAGGGGCCTTCTCATGCTCAGGGGAATAACTGAAAATATGGATACTACCTTAGAATTCACCACCTAAGCATCTGAGTGTAATGTCACTGCTTTCTTTTAACTGGGAAGTGCTTGATTAAATAGGGCAAAGAATGTGGCACATTGGCTTTGCAACCCACTCATACAGACAAAAGGTCCCAGTGACATGTTACAATACTATGAAGTAAAGATGTAAAATTTTTCTTTCCAGGTTATGTTGTGTTAGGCTGTAGAACACGTGTGAATTTTATCTAACCTTGCACTCATATTCTAGCATTCCTAAGTGAGCTACCACATAATTCAGTTCTTGACATGTTGTTTTACCAATGCAGGCTTCAGCCATTTGTGAGTCATCTTTGCTGCCTGCATTATTTACCTCATCTTTTAATTTTAATAAATATTTTATGGTCACATTTACTAGCCAAAAAAAAGCCATGAGATGAAAAGTGAAAAAGTAGATAGGATTAAGAATTGAAAACAGAAATCAAGAAGTTAAAAAGTCAGCATAGGGTGATATGTAAGACAAGGATGAAGAGGGGAAAATATGATACCAAAATGCTTAAGGTTAGAGTTGTAGATGGGGATGTGGAACGGGGATGGGGAACCAGCTGAAGCAGATAAGGAAGGGGAGTCTGAAACAAATTCCGGGGTGGGCCTGCTTGCCTCAGTAGAAAGTCTGTAGTTAAAGCACTGTTATCAGTCTTGGGCAGATCCAGAGGGCAGAGAACAATGAGTTCACAGCTCCAGATACCAACTGTTTTATATACCCTCAGCTGCGGTGTTGGGGGTTTCCTTAAAAAATACTAAATAAACCTTCTCAGTTCATGGGGACTGCCAAGAACTCCTGGGTGACTTAAACCTCAGACAGCCTGGCCTCTTTAAAAGAGCCATTAATTCAAGTGTGAATTTAAAAAATCAGAACCCTTCGATGCAGGTCCTAGCTGTTTTCTAGGAGGAGATGTTTATCTCTTTAGGTTGTGTCAGGCTGCTGCTGCTTCTGCCTAATAACTGTGATGGGCACAAGCCACACTGACTGCTGTCAGCAGTAGCTGGCTAACCTTTACCTTGGAAGAAAAAAGAAATTTGTAGCAATATTGCCTTGAAATTAAGACCTTTCACGATGAAGACCTAATACTTTATTAATTTTCATTATTGATTATTTTTATACCCAGTTAAACTAATAACCCTCCCCAAAAGGGGGGAAAAAACCCGTTGTTGTCGAGTTGGTTCCAATTCATGGAGACCCCATGTGTTACAGAGTAAAACTGCTCCATAAGGTTTTCTTGACTGTAATCTTTATGGAAGCAGACTGCCAGGATCTTTCGTGGTGCCACTAGGTGGGTTCAAACGGCCAACCTTTCAGTAAATAGTCAAGTGCAAACCATTTGGGTCACCCAGGGACCATTAACCCAGTAAACTACTAATTATTTTTCACCTCACTTCTCTCCATTCATCCAGCCAATCGACAGTACTGAGCATTTCTTATGCATTAGGCACAACCATAGGCTATAGGAATATGGAGTGAGACGTGGCCCTATCCTCAAACGGCTTCCATTCTGGTAGGGAGAACTTAATAGATGTAAATAAATGGACAAATTAAAAAAAAAATAAAAGCAATGAATTCTCCCCAACGTGAGGTAGTTCTACAGAAAGATAAAGCAGGTATAGGACATTCTAGCAAAGGAATCAGCATGTGCGAACCCATGAAGCTGGGGAACAGCATGAGAGAAATATACAGAGTTCAAGTTTTGTGGGAGAAGGCAGAGTGGCAGAGAGATGAGGTGAGAGGAAGTGGTTGGGGCCAGATAATAACAGGCCTTGTTTGGCTCACACTAAAAGTTCTAAGTAATAAATAGTGAAGGATCTCAAATGAGGGTAGTACATAATCAAGTTTGCAGTTTAGAAATACGATTCTTTAGCAGTGTGATGGTTGGAACCATCAGAGGGCCCGTTAGGATGCTGCTAAAACAATCCAGGGAAGAAATGAGGGCCTAAGGAAAGATTGTACCGGAGAGGATAAAGAGGGGAGAGTAGAATTAAGATAATTTAATAAGTAGAATTAATGAGGCTTAGTGACCAATAAAAGGAGTTCTGGTGGCACAGTGGTTAAGTGCTCAGCTGCTAACTGAAAGGTCGGTGGTTCGAACCTATGAGCCTTTCTCCCAGAGAAAGATGTGGCCATCTGCTTCACGATTACCATCTTCCATAAAGATTACAGCCTTGGAAACCCCCTGGGGCAGTTCTAGTCTGTCATATAGGGTCACTATGAGTCGGAATTGACTCGACGGCAGTGGGTTTGGTTTGTTTGGTAGTGACCAATAGTATGGGGAGGGGTGAAGATGACCTCAGTTTCTGAGTTGGTTGTCTAGTTGGGTGGTGGCACCATTCCTGAGAGAGGAAGTAGAGAAAGAGGGGCAGGTCTGGAGGAAAGATGATGAGTTGGTTTTGGACATGTTCAATCTGTGGGACTTGAGTCCCATCCAAGTTAAATATCCAGAAGTAATAGGATAAGTGAGTCAGGAGCTGAGGTGAGAAGGCTGGGCCAGAGCTGCATATCTGGGAGTCACTGGCTTCACGCTGAAGCTGTGAGTGTGAGTAACTCAGTCAGGGAGAGCAAGGCACAGAAAGAGACCAGTTTGGGGAGTTGAGATTGGGGGAAACCAGCTCTTGATGGAAGAAGAAAGGGAGAGCTTCTGAAGGTTTAATTATTAGAATTATAGGAATAATCTTCACTCTGTAAAATGAATCACTAGATGAAATCATGAAAAACTCCTTCCCTTGCTGCTGCTGCTGGTAGTGGTGGTAGTGTGTGAGAGAGAGAAATGGAGACTGTTTGATAATTTTAACTTCATTCCATAGAATTTTCTCTCTTATTTCTAAAAGTTTGTGTGTGTATATCTTTTATTTTAATTTTACTTGAACGGCTCAATAGGAAAACTTAGGAACTGCTGTCTTTTAGAAATTCAGATCAAGGTAACCTGAAAGTTTTAAGTCCGTGACAACACGTTTTTTAGGTTCTGACTTCCTCAGAACTTGAGGAATAAATTGATTTCTCATAAAGTGTATAAGCCTTTCAGGGCAGGAGTGGCTAAAGCTACTAATATGCTCACGTTACGCACATTCAGTTTGTAGCATTGAATGAAAGCTTACGACGGCTTCTGTGTTTCAGGTAATTCAGAAATCCGTAGGACCGGCCAGCCTGAGTCTGCTCACCTTCAAAGTCTATGCGTCACCAAAGAAGGACTCACCCAACAAAAATTCCATCAAGGTTGATGAGGTAACATGCTGTTTATGTTGTGATGTATTTTCAAGTCTGATTTAGTTACTACGGGAGTCTTTACAAATCACTTATCAGGAAGATATGACAGTTTAGAAGATATTGAAAAGGAGGAAATATATTTCCTGATAGTTTGTTTTTCTTTGTGGGAAACTATTAAACCATGACTCCTTCAACAAATAAACTTTAGTGGTACTTAGCTAAGGACATAATTAAGGCATATTACATAGATTTTTAGTGGGGAATCTGTTATGTCCCAGTCGATTATAAGCAGAATGAGTTCTTCCCAGTAGTCTGCCTGATTCTAGACTGCTTATCAAGCCAAGAAACCATCTTCTTTGTTGGATTAAAGGCTTAGATCCTTAAAAAATAGATCCTTAAATACTAAAGAAACCTTCTGTCCATTGTTTGCATTCTTTTTTTCTGTGCCTTCCCCTGATTATTTTGGATATTGAATTTCTGTTGACGCTGAAGAAAGTGGTAGAAAGATCTACCATCAAACATGGATGAGGTTACTTGAATTATGTTTATGTAAAGCTAATTAGCTTATCTTTTGCCGTTTACTCTCTTCCTCTCAGGCCTTGGAATAGTGGCATTTTTGAGGGTGAAGAAGGCAGCCAATTGTGGCTGTGAAAACTTTCTTCTTTGGGTGGGGGACAAACTTACCCTGCTTTGATTAGCACCAGACTGATCATTTAATCTAAGATACTCTTCAGTTACTTTCAAGCTTTTTTTTTATCCCCTTCCCACCTACCCTTTAGAGTAATAAAATCCTTTTTCTAAATTAAATCTAAGGTGGAATACCAAATACCAGTATAAAACAGATAAAAGGAAGCTGCTTTGTTTGATACCTGTGAGGCCTTACCCTTACTGGTTCTGTTGGTCTGCAGTAAAGAAATAAGTAGGGTGCAAAGATTATTTGAAGTAAGGTTTAGGGTGCACATAACCCTAAGGGTCACTGTAATTCATAAATTATTAGAAAGCTTATGCCTACAGATTTAATAGGTGATTTATTATTATCTGACAACTGTATACATTTTTGAAATTTTTGTTTTTTGTTTTTTTAATGTATGCAGCTTTCACTCTACTCAGTTCCAGAAGGTCAATCTAAATATGTGGAGGAGCCTAGGACCCAACTTGAAGAAAACATTTCACAGCTCCGACACTATTGTGAGCCATATACAAGTTGGTGTCAGGTACAGCTGTTCTGAAAATGGACTCAACACATTTCTGTTTAGCATCAGTAGTGAGAAGTCTCTGTTGGCTGCATGTTTTCAGAAAAAGACACGATAAAAGGGTCCAACTTAAGAGTACCCAACTTACAGATGTTAATCAGTGCCTTCTCTGGGGATGGGGAAAGACAGAGATGCCCTTGCTTCCTGGTGGTAGCTGTTACCATAGCTTCATAGAGAATTTTCCTCTCACTGGGCAGCATGGGGCAGGCACCTTGATTAGAGAAAGGAGGGGTGGTAACTCTCTTGTTGTTTGCAGCTATGAAAAGGTTATTGTCTACCAGGAGAGACTGTGGGGCTGGAACCCTAGTCAAAGGAAAAAGATGCAATACAAACATTTATATCAGAATTGGGAAGTTTCTCTTCCCCCAGAGATTCTACCATCAGTATCATTTTGAATGCAATAGGAGGAAGGTAAATACTAAAAGAGGGTGGAATTACATACTCGAGTACTGAATTTTGCCCCTAATGGCCAAAGAACTACATCTAGAGATTGACTTCTATCACTGGTCACGTTTTAGATCAGGCATTTGACATTTGTTAATAAGAGTATTTCTGTGATTTTTAACATCTGAAACTGATGTTTACAATTTATCTATAGAATGCTTTCGTGGGCCTTGATACATACGTTTTCTGTATTTTATCTTTGATTTTGAAAATTGATGAAAAATTAGTAAAAAATATGTAGATGTGTGAGACATGGTCTATATTTACTTTGCTTGAGTAATTCAATTTTCTGTTACTTTACCAATCAGCAGTTCCTACTCATTCATTTTCTTTTCACCTTTTTAGGAAAAGTACTTCTACACTAAGCCCAAGATGCAAAGTATTGTTCAGTGGGGGGTAGGTAAGTTGATTTTTAATTCAGGCATAATAGGTTTATTTATTAAGGTAGTACTCTTTAACCTGGTTCCCTGGAAAGGCTTCAGGAGGTCTGTGAATTCCTTAAAATTGTATGCAGAATTTTCGAGCTATGTGGATTTTTCTTGAGAAAGGATCTATTGCTTTCATCAGATTTCAGAAGACTAGTTTCCCCAAACAGTTAGGAACCACTGCTGCAACAAGTAAATTGATTCAAGATCATTAGGATTATTGAGCTAGTGAGTGCACATACACTGAATTTTTTTTAAAAACTATTTCCAAGTGCAGCTAAATGTAACACACTAACTTATCAACAGATTTTCAAAATCAGAATAGTTCAATAACTGATTTTACTTTTTGTATTTGTTAGTTATTGGGTATGAATAAAACTGCATTTGCACTGCTATTAATACATGCCATAGAGGTTTACAGGCAGGAAGGAACTGGCCTGGTGTGCCTAGGAAAGTCCTGATTACATGATTAGTAGTGTTTTTACATTTTTTTCATTTGATTTTTATTGACCTGTATTGTTTTTCCACATGTGGGCCACTTATCACAAATACTCATAAACTGAGTTCACGATCTGTTCTGACTGATATCAGTCAGGAACTGGTAAATTAATAAAGATACTGATAATACTTAATTCCCGTATTGGGCATCTTGGCAAATCGAAATCTTGTTTATGCAAGGGTTTATCTCCGTGATTGAATAAAATAAACATGAGTACGATTTATTTTCTTGCTAAGATCATCGTAGTGTTTTGATGTGCTAATACCCCTGAGACTATCAGATCAAGAAATTTTTTGTTCAAGGGCAGACATATTAACAGCCTACCAGTTCTTTAAATTATTAATGCAAGTTAATAAGTAACATCTTAACTTTATTAATTTAATAAACACTTAGTGTTTATTATATATCAGGTAATATTCTAAGTGCTTTGTTGTTGTTTTTGTTGTTAGCTGCCATTGAGTTGGTTCCGACTCATAGCAACCCTGTGTACAACAGAATGAAACACTGCCTGGTCCTGCACCATCCTCATATCGTTGCTACGTTTGAGCCCGTCGCTGCAGCCACTGTGTCAGTCCATCTCGTTGAGAGTCTTCCTCTTTTTCGCTGACCCTCTGCTTTACCAAGCAAGATGTCCTTCTCCAGGGACTGGTCCCTCCTGATAACACGTCCAAAGTATGTGAGACGAAGTCTCGCCATCCTCGCTTCTAAGGAGCATTCTGGCTGTACTTCTTCCAAGATAGATTTGTTTGTTCTTCTGACAGTCCATGGTATTTTCAGTATTCTTCCCAACACTGTAATTCAAAGGCATCAATTCTTCTTTAGTCTCCCTTATTCGTTGTCTACTTTTCGCATGCATATGAGGCGATTGAAAATACCATGGCTTGGGTTAGGCGCACCTTAGTCTTCAAGGTGTTATCTTTGCTTTTCAACACTTTAAAAGAGGTCTTTTGCAGCAGATTTGCCCAGTGCAGTGCGTCTTTTGGTTTCTTGACTGCTGCTTCCATGGGTGTTGATTGTACATCCAAGTAAAATGAAATTCTTGACAACTTCAGTCTTTTCTGTTTATCATTATGCTGCTTGTTGGTCCAGTTGTGAGGATTTTTGTTTTCTTTATGTTGAGGTGTAATCCCTACTGAAGGCTGTAGTCTTTGATCTTCATCAGTAAGTGCTTCAAGTCCTCTTTGCTTTAAAATTCTCTAAGTTAAGTGCTTTAAAAATATTAATCTATTTAATTCTTATAACCACCTGACATCCTCATAACAATCCTGATATTTAGGTACCATTGTTTTCTCTATTTTTCACCTGAAGAAACTAAGGAACTCGTGATGTAATCTTTCATTTTTACATATGTGACCCGAGGTGATCTCTTCATTGTCACTTGTCATTTCCTGTTGATTCATAGCAGTAGACATTATTTGCTATGCTAGTCCTTTTTTCTTCTTCTGGATTTGTAGTTACTGCAAAGGCTCTTAAGAAGAAACGTGCCATTATTATATTGTTTCCTGCGAAGGCAGTCAGTCCATTTCCCAGCAGTCAAAGCCCAGGCACATTACCAGAAGCTGTGCTTCAGCTTCAGTTGAGTCTTAAAACATATCTTCTTTCTACCTTCCCACTTCTTTGTGATTTACCCACTTTGGCTCAGCTCACCAAAGCCATCTGAGTGCCCTTCTGTCAACTGCTCTTTGTGCATGTCTAGAACTGAGCAACACTGGTAGGCAAAAATAAAGGAAAGTAGAAAGTTGCTTAAAATGAGATAGACAAGGGGATGGAAGTTGAAAACTAGGTTAAAGGCAAAATAAATGAAAGGTCAGACTGGAAATAGGGCAAATATAACACAAGCCCTATAGTAGTATTGAAAATGAACATGTTCCCCAAAGAACCTAGGAAAAAGAAAACTGGCATGTATCTGGTATTATCTGGGGCAGAGAATTACTGAGTATTCCAGTTTATTAGTTCAGTTCAGCATATATTTGTTAAGTCGCCTCATGGCAGGCATTGAAGATTGAGGTTGATTAAGATAGTGATCACAACCACTGAGATGCATATTATGAATGATTCAGTACTATATAGTTAGTGCAAATACAGAGACAATCACAGACTACTATTGAAGGTGCAGAGGAAAGGGACTCAATTTAACAGAGATTGGGGAGATGGAAACAGGGAAGGATTTCTGAGATGAGTCTTGAAGGAGCAGTTTTTGGCCTTACTAAAATGTAGGGGTGGGGCTGTGATGGCATTTCAGACAGAAAGCATAGCATGATCAAGTTGTCAAGGTGCAACCAGGGACAGATTACCCAATAAGCATGGTAAGCACATGCTTAGGGCATCAACAGAACAGGGACACCAGTTGTCCAAAACAAAGACCCATAGATGCCAAGCAGACAGGACACAAGGAAAAGCGTGTGCACAACAGTGATTCAAGAAAGATTTGATTCATTCTCCTTATTATGTATGGAAGTAGATATTGTTTGGCAGCTTAATTGTGACAAAATTATCGAAGAATTTGTAAGAGCAAAGAATAGAAAGAAATGTTTTTAATTATAACATGTTAGAGATGAAACATCTATCTAAAAATAAAGTATAGTAATTGTAATATTTGTTTTCTGGTCATTGAATTTTCTTTTATGACATCTTTTCATTTGTTCATTTATAATTATAGGATTTATTACAAAACGCATCCAAATTGAAGTATGAGCTGTTTAAAGCAAAACTGGTGAAAGTCAGTTTTTCGTTGTAGGGGATCAACAACATTTTACATTGCTTGTTGAAACAACTAAGTTCACTGACTTATTTTCTTTGTTGTAGAATACGTGGAATATTGTTTTTGTAGAATATGTGGTGTATAGTAAAAATCTTAGTACCTCGCATCCACTAGAAATTTTATAATCCAGTTCATCTCATTCCACTAAAATGGCATACACCACTTTTGCATTCAATAGCTAATATTAGTCACATTTAAAAAGACGTTGATTCATGGATAGCTAAGACACACACACACACACACACACACACACGCATATATGTAACTACATGTATTATATAACTTACATATCCTATTTGAATGCGTGAGTAAGCAGAGGAGGTGACATCACAGGTTATCAGTGGTTAGTGCCCTCACATGCCTTAATTTGTCCCTGGGTGCAACTCAGTATTATGTGTGTGAGGAACTATAAGCACATAGGGAGTGCTGAAGATGAAGTTGAGAGAGACACGAAGGCTGTCTGAGTCATGACCTAGCTGAAATTCATTTGTTAATTCATTCAGTATTATTCAGCTTCTAGTACAGTGTTCTTAATAAATATTTGTTGAATGAATAGCCACAATTAGACCACTGAGGGAAGATAACATAGAAGTCTTAGCAGTCCACCATCAAGGAGTTTACATTCTCCTTGGGGAAACATAAGATACACACCTGAATAATTAAAAACACGGTACTATAGGATTAGGCACCAAATGATGGTACAGAGAATAGATACGATGGGACTTTAGAGGAAGAAGAGAGGTCTGGGTTGATGAGTTTAGGAAAGACTTATCTTAAGGAGATGGACTTAAGCTGGCTCTTATCTGATGGAATTGGCTCAGTGGAGAGGAATATGTGAATAAAGTCCTAAGACACGTTCAGGCGTGGTGAGTAGGCTCATGTGTTGCATTTAGTTTTACTTATTTTATCACTATCACTGTCAAAATGACTATTTCCCCCATGTACCTGTAAGTTTCTTTCATTATCCAAATTTATTCTGCTCTTGATTTTGAATAGTGAGCTCAGGTAGCAAAGGATACTTACTTTTTTGAGTCTAATGTATTTCGTTCCTGAGTTTTTAGAGAACAAGCAGCAAAGCTTCAGAGAGGACAGATCTATCCAAAGATTTATCCAAATATATTCTGTTTCTCTGTTTGGATAACGAGTTTAGACAGCTAGAGGTCCCTATATTTGTATTTCTCCCTGCGTAAATAGTTAATTCAGATCTATTGCCTTCGGGAATATGAAGGTAATCTAACATTAATTTATTGTCAGTAGGTTGTCAGACCACAAGTGTTTGAAAATTGGACACTTGCTATGTGAATACTAAATCATATTTATATATCACATAAAAAGAATGTGTTGAAAAGAAGCATATTAGCAGAAAACAAATACATGATTTGAGAAGAATTTGGTACTGTATGTACTAGTTATAAGACTTCTATAAATTGTGATTTTCTTTTTTTTAATTTATTTTTTTATTGTGCTTTAGATGAAGGTTTACAGAGCAAATGAGTTTCTCGTTAAACAATTAATACACATGTTGTTTGGTGACATTGGTTGCCAACCCTGCAGCGTGTCAACACTCCCCTTATCGATCTTGGGTTCCCCATTTCCATTTGTCCAGCTTTCCTGTCCCCTCCTGCCTTCTCGTCCTTGCCCCTGGGCTGTTGTGCCCATTTAGTCTCGTATACATGGTTGAACTGCGTGTGTTATTGTTTATTTTATAGGCCTATCTAAACTTTGGCTGAAGGGTGAACCACAGGAGTACCTTTAGTACTGAGTTAAAAGGGTATCTGGGGGCCATATTCTGGAATGTTTCTCCAGTCTCTGTCAGACCAGTAAGTCTGGTCTTTTTTTTGTGAGTTTGAATTTTGTTCTATGTTTTTATCCGGCTCTGTCCGGGACCCGCTATAGTGATCCCTGTGAGACCAGTCGGTGATGGTAGCTGGGCACCATATAGTTGTACTGGACTCAGTCTGGTGGACGCTGTGGTAGTTGTGGTCCATTAGTCCTTTGGACTAATCTTTCCCTTGTGTCTTTGGTTTTCTT